CCGTTTTAGGTAGGCGTGGTTGACTCTTACCTTTTATAAAGAATAACTCTTTGGATTTGAGACTTTAGTCTTTGCAACTTTACAGATCTGCTTTATGCACCAAGAGCTTGTAACACTCCAAAGAGAAAGGAAAACTTGAAATCGCATCATATGACCCCTTTAATTGTTTTGAAAGTTTAGAAAAATGTACATGAATTACATAGAAGTTCAAAAATCAATGTAATCTTGTAATTGCCTGCTGCATAAGAGTACCTACATGGTGCTCGGGGATACTTAATTCTGATTGGTCAATCTGTGATTTTATTCTGTTTCTCTACAGTTTCTACAAGGCATCTTAAATCAATATTTCAAATCAATTTCATGTCCAAATATTCATTTATCTTTGAAGCAGCCATATATATATATAAAGTCATTACCACAAAAATAAACATGGAAAGGCCAACCCTGGACATTCCACAGTCTCTTTCTTGTCACATAATAAAATCATTTCTACTCAAATCAATATTTCATGTCCATTTATTTAGTAAGTAGCCATGTAATATGTTTCACATCGGTGTCCTCTTCTCTCTGTTGGGGATTATTTTGCAGTAATGACCATCTGATTGCTTACCCAGGGCTGGACAATAAGGACTGCCCGATGGCCCGGGGCCAGCGTGAAAGACGTTCGGGACAGTAGATTTGTCACTTGCCCGATCGGGCCACTGCAGCGTCGGCACGACATTTTATCATTTGCATGTGTTTTTAAGACTTGTTAATTTAAAAATTCAAGCGATTAAAAAGCATTTGGGTTCGAAAGACAACTCCTTTCAGTACTCGCGCGCTGTGTGTGTGAACAGCGCGCGCACAGACAGCCGCGTCTCTGACACGCGTGAGCCGCCTGAACGAGCAAATGCATACAAAAGTATGTCAAAATAACCGTCCTGGCAAGTAACTTTGTAGCTTTAACAATGATTAATTTATATTGAATTTATACACTGGAGTACAGATGCCGATCTACCGGACATTTTTTGTTTTATTTCAGACTATCTTCTGTTCCGTGCTTGCACACAAACTGCACTGCAATCAGTCAGAGAGTGAATCATTCAGCCCACCTGCTGTTTCTGTTTCATACCGATGTTTTCTGAAGCATAATTTCACATAGCTAAAGTCAGGTTATTCTGTTTTTGCTTCAGATTTTGAAATTATACCGAAATTGAAATAGAGAATTGTAAAATGTAATTGGTAACTAAAATATTGGTGTCATATAACCTTATTTATTAGAATACACGATAACAGATCAAAAACAATGATAACAGCAACTATTTTATTTTTTTGTGGCAGGGCCAGTGAAAATGTTGGCAATGCAAGTAAAAATTTGAACCACTGGCCCAACCGGGCCCAACCGGGCCAGTAGAAAAAATCCTTAGCGTTGATCCCTGCTTACCCCTCTCTTATATCCGTTGTAAATTTAAAACAAGAAATATCTAGTTCAATAGAAAAAAATGTAGCATGCAAGCCACATTTACCTTTGTTATGCTGTCTGTCTTTATTTTTCCATATGATTGTTTTGTTTTTAATCTGTTTCTGTTGTTTATTTGTTTTGCTTTGCCACATTGCTCTTTTTAAACCAGGCTGAGGTTATTATGAAACACGCTGCTTCTCTCTTTTTCTCTAAAGATTTGCTTTGCCTAATTGCATCCATTATTCCAGAATGTGTGTCTCTTTATTATGGATTTCTGTATGTATCTGTCTGAAAATGTTTTTCTGCAATTATTATATTATACTATTACTTGATTCTATTATGGTTTTCATGCCAGTGGTTGCATAATTTTACATTTACACTTTCATGTGTGTGTTTTGCATTTAATCGTGTAATCATCATTAGGGGAAAATAGCAGTATTGACCACATTACATTATTATACAATTACACTGTGCAAACATAGCACGCAGATTTAACACAGACTCTGAATAATAGTGCATGGTTATAGGGATATATTTTTCATATATTTTTTTCACAGGCTGCAACCTGAGAACCAAATGAATAAGAAATGTGAATGCTCTTGATGTTTTAGATGTAATGTCTACATGCATGGCTGACTAGCTGTATGTTTCAGTCAGTTTTAAGTAAGTGCATTAGCTCCAGGGATCCTCTTATAGGTGATTTTATGACCTCTAAGTGCAAAGTGTGTATCTAAGTGCTGAAGAATGTAATATGTGTGTCTATGTGAGGCTTTTGAGTTAAAAGCTTTCCAAGTGACCCATCCTCTCATAACTGTATGATGGCTTAATGTAAACGTGATTCTTGTTTAGACACTATAATGCTGAACCATTTCTAGAAGTGGCTAGATATAATCTAGAAACTAATTATATAACCTATAATCATAGAAAACTCAACCAAGACATTAGACCTGATCACAGAACAACAGCCAATGCAATATCTTTGTTGGAAAGCAGAATGTGCTGCATTTGATGATTTCTATTTTGTTGATAAAGTACGCATGTGTGTAGTATAAATGGATGGAATATATCAGCCATGTTGAATTTGGTCATACTACTGATTTGATGTGTAATACTGCTGTTTGCATATACTTTATAGAGAAGTAGGCATATTTGGATGCAGGGACTTGTATGTCAAATGTTTAATGTCAAAGGCTGACTCCTTAATTAAAATATTTAATGAGATACCAAGAAGATAAGATTCCAACCTAGGCCGTAACCATATCTTAAACATTGGAGGAAGATTTTT